TGTGTGTGTGTTTGATTTCACAATGTTATTGCTGTTGGAGCGGAGTAGTTTATAAACACTGGACGCAAACAGCATCCCACTCAGAGGTTACGCAACACTAAAGAACACACACATACACACGCACACGAACACACCCCTATTGTTGCACACAAAGCATTTCCAGCATAAATACATAGACTCGTATAGAAAAACTACAACCGCTGTCTACTCGTATTGTCTTGTTCTCTACATTTACTCTCTGTAAAGCTCTCGGGGTCAGAACAGCTGGGCAGGCGAGAAAGACGGGGTGATAGAGAGACAGGAGGACAGAAAAAGAAAATAGACAGGAAGAAAGACAAAGAGAGGAAGAAAGAACACAGACAGCGGTTTGAGGCCGAGGGCCGATAAGAAAATGAAGAAAAGGAGAGAAACACAAAGAGAGGAGGAGGAGGGAGGGAGGTGAGCAAGGTGGGGAGGACAACAATGGGTGGAAGGGAGAAGCAAAGAGAGAGAGGACAGCGTTAAAGTCAAACACGAACTTCCAGGTTTTTTAAACTCTTTTGGGATCAGAGCGGAATTCGACCCTGATGCTAACCCAGTAAAGGTCACAGAAATGAGCCAATCAACAGCTCAACAAATCATTTCACACACTTTAACTTTTCATTTTAATAATACGTCTTTCTTGCAGATTTGAAGCCAAAATAACTGAAATTTATATATATATTTTTTAAATTTAACCTCCTAGGACCTGGCATCCACATATGTGGAAATCACATTTTGGGTTGTCTAGACCAGCGGTCCCCAACCTTTTTTGGGCCACGGACCGGTTTATGTCCGACACTATTTTCACACACCGGCCTTTAAGGTGTCGCAGATAAATACAACACAATAAACCCAGTACTGGTACCAAAAAATAAGATTAATTCATAACACACAGGAAAAGACCCAGGGAAACAGAGTTAACGATAAAAACAATTTAAAAAATATCACTAAAAACCGATAAAAACCCTAAAAAACACAAATTCTACACCTGTGCCTGAACTCGCGGGCCCAGTACTAAACGACGGACCGCTGGTCTAGACCAAAATACTAAATTTTTCTCTACAAGGGCCTGATATCCACTTCCGAGGACACTATACTGCCACTGCTCTATCGAAATGTAAAGCGAATGTCCTCATATGTCGGTCTAATTTTTCTCAGAAACAAAAATCAGGTAAAAAGAAAAACAAAATCAGGTAATTCTTTGTTTTTACATTCATCAGGTCCCAAGAGAAACTGAAAATGCATGCCATGAAAGAGTTCACGTCTTAGGAGGTTAAAAGTAAAAAAGAAACTAAACTCCATCTGCAGAACAATCACAGTGGCTCTGTCTGACTCGAGACCAGGGGGAGACACAAACCTCTCTTGCAGCACA